AATTCGTACAGATCGTGGTCGACCTGCTTGTCTCTTGTATTGAGGTGGAATTAGTCGTGGTCCAGTATATTCGGGCCAATGGTGGAATTAGTCGTGGTCCAGTATATTCGGGCCAATACCGACTATCATCGGGTGGATGAAAACTCTCACCGTATGTCTTTCGGTAATGAATTGTTGAATATCATGGTGAACAATACCGATTATATGGAATTCTCGCACCACCCGGCTGATTGGAGGAGGCCGCAAGAATATGTGCACAAGGTATTTTTTAAGGTTGTGGTATGTTACATGTGCAAGTGCAATCAACATCAAACAATTTAACGGTGTAGATACCATCATAATCCTGTACCTGTCATTCATTGTCATTGAATACAGTAATTTGACATAATCTTGCCGCCTCAATTCTTCTATGCAAAATAGACTCATTCTTTGGTGTGTAACGCGTTGTCCAGTCTACACCATCCTCACGCCTTTTGTTGAAGTATGAGTTTAGCCTATAGAACGTTCTTGCAACCAATGATTGTATTGGCATAGCTCGTGCTCCTTTAAGAACGTCATTAAAGCTCTCGGAGCAATTAGTTGTCATTATGCAAAATCGCACACCCTCATCCTTACATAATGCCCATCGATGCTCGAATTGAGGCTTCAAGTTATGTTCAATCCAATTATGTGCATCTAATGACAAAGACTTGATCTTCTCTCTACAATGTTCATACACTAATATATCGGTTGCACACCCAGCTTGCCACAAAAGATTTTGCAAATTAATCTCACCGTGTTTTTTCTTGAAATTATCTCTTATATGCCTCAAACAATATCGATGGTGATGTGGTGCACCAAAACCCTCATGTAATGCCCTTATAATTCATTTCATCCTATCTGAGATAAAAGTAATTAATATGGGCGCACGAACACTAGGAATCCACTTGTATATAAGTTCAAAGAACCACTTCTAACTAGAAGTATCCTCTACCTCCACAACTGCAAATGCTAGAGGAAATAAACCGTCATTTGCATCTACACCGGTCGCCACAAGAAGCACGCCTTTGTACTTGCCATATAGATGTGTATCGTCAATGCTCAATAACGGACGACAAAAAGTGAAGCCCTTAATAGCCGGACCAAATGCCCAAAATACTCGAGTGAACCTCTCCATCCCCGGTGCAATCTCTTCAGACAATATTTTGCCCAAAATACTCGAGTGAACCTCTCCATCCCCGGTGCAATCTCTTCAGACAATATTTCATATTCAGTATTCGGATTATTTCGCTTTTCAAGATACTGTGGAAGTAATTCTTAAGATTTTTCTCAATCTCTAAATATTTTCAACAACGCTTTCCTCCTTGCATCATATGCCTTATATTTAGATATCTTAATGCCCCGCATATCATACCCTTCGAAATATCTAACTTGCATTTAGATCAAGTTCAGCTCTAACTTTAGGCATAATTAGCTTACATATATAAGAGGAAAATGCAGAATAATGATCGACGTCCACCGACGGATTGCAACATGTATGAAACCCGCAATATCTAGATATTACAAATTGCCCATTTGTTGATTTCCTCACAGCGGCATTTAGCAACCAAGGACATTTCCTGTTTCTCTCATCTTGCTCATTTGCATGCTCTACTTCATTCTTCTCGTTGAAATAACATTTTACATAGTAGTTGGTTGCATTAGTTTTTACAGGCTTGAATTTGACCCGATTTTTTATAGATCATTCTCGCACCGCAAAGATCAATGCTTCCTTGCTCTCGAATAGGTCCCCTTTTTTAAAAGTGATGAAGTCTTCAAGCCGTTGAAAGTTTGGACCAACATTAACAAATTCAGCTTGCGAAGTATTTATCCAATCTTCATTATAAAACTCGTCGGGCAACGTATCTTCATCTTCCACATAATCATTGTTAACATCAAATTGATCCATCCAACGAGAATCATCATCGATTCCAACTGCCACTTGCATGCTATCAATTTGCACGTCTTCTTCTTCAGTATCTTCTGAGTCATCATTTATTTCTTCTTCTACAATTGATCCTGCCGGTAGATCACCCGTAACATAGCCCGATGCGTCGTTAAATATAGTACTTGACGTCCCACCAAGAGAATGCCCACTTAAATGTTGTAGTTGACACCACGGCTCTTGACTTGGAGATGTCATAAAACCACTCGACTCATTGTCTAAGTCCATCATCCGAGAAAACTCTCCTTGTGGTCGTGAAACTTGGGCAAATTCTTGAATCGGATACTTCTCAATGAACAACTCAACTGACACTTGCTTCTCCACTAATTGTTTTATGTCATTCAATTCCTCATCGTCGGTAATCGCCACAGCAATAGTTCTACTCTCATTTATCGGACAATTGAAGAACACTTTAATTGCATACCATGCTTTATTAATTTTTGTAACTCTGTGTATTTCATTCATCATTCCATCAAAATTTAATGACTTGGATAGCATAAACATTTTCCTAGAACCTCCCTCATACATCGGCATACTATTCAATCCGACGCCGAGGCTCCCATTGAAGAAGCAAATAATGGGTATAGAGTTTGTCATCGAAGCTGAAAATCAACAGTCTATCATATGTAAATAATCTATTATAACTGGAAATATTAATATTAATTTAAAGTCAAATTTAAAATCCTAATCTCAACTACAAAGCAAATAATGGCTAAATTCCCTAATCCCAAATCACATTATTCATGTCTAAACCCTAATTATGGTTAAACCCTAATCTCAAATCACATTATTCATGTCTAAACCCTAATTCCCTAATCTCAACTAAATACATTCCCAAATTTCAACCTTAATCCCAAATCTCAATTAAATTCATTCCCAAATCTCAACCATAATTCCCAAATCTCAACCTAAATACATTCTCAAATCCGAAATTTCATGGCTAATCAAAATTTAAAAAAAACAAAATTTACCTTGGTCGCCGGCGGCGGTCGGAGCGAACTTGGTCGGCAGCGGCGGTGGTCGGAGGGCGCTTGGTCGGCGGCGGCAGTGGTCGGCGTCGATGGGTTTGAGGAGCAGGTGAAAGAGGTGGGGTGAAAGGGTTTGGGTGAAAAAAAGTTCGGTCAAGAGGAAGAAACTCACGGGCCCCCCGATCGCACGGGACTGCTAGTCCCGTGTTATTCGAAACTGCCACGAAATACACAGGACTAGCAGTCCCGTGTATGTCGTAAAAAATTTTCCGCAGCAAAACCGACCCTTTTCAGAAGAAAAGGGTCGGTTTTGCTGAATAAATTTCGAAGATGTCGATTTTGCTATTTAAATTTCGAAAATGGTTGATTTTGAAAATTTGTCCGAGAAAAAAACTGAACCGTCCTAGTTAGTTGTCTCGTTTAGAGGGAGATTATTCATGTCCCTCTCCTTCACTCGTGAGAGTGGCGTGAGTCGCAAAAAAGCTAACACTTGATCCTCACAAACCCCAACCAAAGGGCTCTTTCTTTTCCTGCTATTTGAAGAGTAGATTACAGTCGTCATGTAGCTTAAACGTGTTGTTCAGAAACTTCGAATACTTAGCTTTGAAGTCCCATTTCAAAGGGTAGCGATGAAAACTTTTTAAATAACGAGAGGAAAATCATCAGCAACGTACGCCATTTCGTAACATGTTTCTCCAATTTCTAGGAAAGATCTCCATTTACTGCAGATAACATAAATTTTGACTAATAAATAATTCACAGTACAAAGACGACAACAAATTTAAAATTTCAGAGCAACCGAAAGCTCTCACCTGCAACCTTTACCGTAGGAGGACACAAACAAAGCCGTCCAAAAGCTCGTTACATTAGAAATAAAGAAAAATTGTGTCTAGGCTCCAAAATTACATCCTTCAAGTGATATGACCCCGTTGACTTCAGGTAATGTGCTTAGACTTCTTGATCCAAATTCTTATATGAAAAAAGACTATTTATAACTGCCACCTAAATAGAGAGAGAAATTTTTTTAATCCCTGGTCCTACCCTCATCAGGCACCCTCATCATATATATATATATATAATATAATATAATATATATATATATATATAATATATATATATATATATATAATATATATATATATATTATATATATTATTATATAGACGATTAATCGGGTATTCCCCTGTCATACGGAGGAGATTCATCCTGACGCCTTTAAAATCACGATGATTGAGCGATATTGTGGAATGATCCGCCTCCGTTGAACTTGCATCACATATTCTAAAACCCCAACACACCAAGTTTGGGGTGAACCCCGTCGTCGTTTGACCCTTCATCCACTCGTATCAATTTTAACTGTTTTGCATGAATAGAACTTTTCACATGGCTCGATGGAGGGTCAAACGACGACGGATCACTCCAAACTTGGTGTGTTGTGGGTTTTAGAATATGTAGATCAAGTTCAACGCGAACGGATCATCCATAATGTCGCTCACAATCATGTGATTTTAGAGGCGTCAATGAGGAAAATCCCCTCCTATGACAAGGATACCCATTAATATCTCTCTCTCTCTCTCTCCTCTCTCTTCTATATAATATACTATATAAATATATATATATATATATATATATATATATATATATATAGAGAGAGAGAGAGAGAGAGAGAGAGGTTCAAATAAAAACCTCACTATCCTACAAACTAAAAACCAATCCTCTCCATTGGATCTAGATTCATCCGATGGCTGAGATTAAAGCTGCATAAGGGTAATCAGGTAAAATTAATAGCCCCCAAAGAGAGGTAATTAATGCTTGTCTGTTGAGTTCTTCATGCAAGTGTAGTGGTCCATTTCCCTATGCAATCTCATGGCTCAGGCAACCCAACAGTCACGAACAGCAGCCCTCTCACTCCTCAACCAACAACTCCCGTTCATCGTCCTTCAGCTCTCTCTCAATCGAGAAATCGTCTTCTAGTCACTCCACAACCAGCAGCTGTCCTTCATCGTATTTGAGCTCTCTCGTTCATCGTCCATCATCTCGCCATTCTTAAACATTTTATGGAGATTTAAATGGAGAGCTTGAATTCAGGTAAGCAGGTTCTAGTTGTTTTCATTGTAATCGATCCATATTTAGTATTTCAATACTTAGTCATATGACTTATTATCTAGGAGCTTACATTCTTAAACATTTTATGGAGATTTAAATGGAGAGCTTGAATTCAATTTAACACGTTCTAGTTGTTAATCTAGATTCACTGCATTGAATCGAGATTCATTGTTAGAGACTGTAGTGATTTTCATAATTTATTCACTTGTTTATTGTAGTGAATCTAGATTCAATGCAGTGAATCGATATTCACTCCAGATTAATTTAGCAATAATATGAATTCAATGCAGTGAATCTAGATTCACCCCAGTGAATCTAGATTCACCCCAGTGAATCTAGATTCATTGTAATGGATCCAGATTCAGTATATCAAATCTTAGTCATATGACTTATTATCTAGGAGTTTACATTCGTAAACATTTTATGTAAATTTAATCGGAGAGCTTGAATTCAGTTGAACATGTTCTAGTTGTTAGAGAATGCAGTGATTTTCATAATGTATTCACATGTTTACTGTAGTGAATCTGGATTCAATGCATTGAATCCAGATTCACTACAGTAAACATGTGAATACATTATGAAAATCACTGCATTCTCTAACAACTAGAACATGTTCAACTGAATTCACATGTTTACTGTAGTGAATCTGGATTCAATGCAGTGAATCGAGATTCACTCCAGTGAAACCAGATTCATTGTATTGAATCCAGATTCAGTATATCAAAACGTAGCCATATGATTTATGTTGCTTTATTTTCAGTTGTAGGCAGCAATGAACAAATAAAGGAACCACATGTTATAAATGCATCAGCCAGTGATTTTAGGGAAGATGGAATGGACGAAGTTAGCTCGATTCCTTTTCAATCACCAGGTGGTGGTATGTATTGGAAACCTCGGGTTGAAGCTGAATTTAAACCTTATATAAACCAAAGCTTCCGATCACTAGAGGATGGTATAGAGTTTTACCGAGAGTATGGACGTAAAAGTGGGTTTGAGATCAGACGGCATACAGAGAAGAAACATGAGGATGATACAGTTCTTCTTAAACACATTGTTTGCAGTAGAGCTGGCAGCAATGAATTAAAGATGGATGTTGATTTTGAGGATTTTAGTAGCATTTCGAAAAAGAGAAGGAGAACTGTATCTAGTAGATGTGGTTGCAAAGCTAAAGTCGTGTTTAAGTTTGATGGTTTGAAAGGATATAATGTTCTCTCATTTGTTGAAGAGCATTCTCATTTTTTGGTCTCCGGTAGTGGGAAACAATTTTTGAAGTCAAATAGAGTTCTCGGTCTCGCACATAAGAAACTTGTATTTGATGGAGCAAAAGCCAACATGGGGCCTAACAAAACATATAACTTTGCTAAGGAGTTGTGTGGAAGTTATTCTAATGTTGGTGCTACCTGTACCGAGTTTAAAAATTGGAGTAGGGATGTGAAGCTTTATATTGGTGATCGAGATGCTCAAATGATCATCGAGAAGTTCACGGATAAGAAGGAGATGTGTGATGGATTTTTCTATGATTATGCAGTCGATGAAGAGGGTCGATTAACTCGCATCTTTTGGGCAGATGTTATTGGACGAAGAAATTACGATGTATTCGGAGATGTGATATCATTTGACTCTACATATTCCACAAACAAGTAAGATTTTATAGTTAATCTCTTACGATTTTTAATATTGGAATTATATATCATAGTGAATATTATATTTTTTGTATGTGATACAATAGGTACAACATGAAGTTTGTTCCATTTACTGGTCTCGACAATTATAAGAAGTGTGTTGTATTTGCAGCAGGATTGATAGCTAAAGAGGACATTGATAACTATGTCTGGATTTTTGAGGTATTCATGAAATGCATGATTCGCGAGCCAAAGTGTATTGTTACAGATCAGTGCCCTGCCATGAAGCAAGCTATACCAACCGTCTTTAGAGAAGCACATCACTGTTTGTGCAATGATTTCATTAACTTACAAAACATATAACTTGCAAAAGTCAACATGGGGCCTTATTAGATAAATACTGAATCTTTCGTTATATATTTATATTGTAGTTGGCAAAATGCATTTCGAAGATGGATGATTTCAAGAGGAAGATCAATACACTGATTTGGAGTATAGATATAGATCCAGCAACATTTGAAGTAGGTTGGAAAGATGTTATGAATGAATTTAAGCTTGAAAGTAATGAATGGTTGTGTGAACTGTATAACATTCGGGAGTCATGGATTCCAGCCTATTATGCTGATGATCCAATGGCTGGTTTATTGCATACTACATCAATATTAGAGAGTGAGAAATGTTTCTTTGACAAATTCAACCGTAGATCTGACACATTGACAGAATTTTATCTCTGATACGAGAGTGCTATGGAGAAGCAAAGGCATACAAACGCAAGATTAAACTATGAAGGAACAAAGTTGATGCCAAGAATGGACGTACACCATTGTTATTGGAGAGGGATGCAGCAGAGTTGTACACTCGAACAATGTTTTATGAGGTACAGAAAGAGATAATGGCATCCTGTTATGATATGAGTATCAACAGTATATCAAAAGAAGATGGTGTGAAGGTTTTTTCCATAAAGGATAAAAAAGAGACATGGAAAAATATTTGAGGTAAAACTTAATAATGGAGATTGAAACAATAAAAATTAAATCCAGATTTAATGCAGTGAATCTCGATTCACACCACTGAATCGAGATTCAGTGACCATTTCATGCGCTTGTCATTTTCTTTTTTTATTCGGTGCTAATATACATTGTTTTTTGAATTTTAGGTGAAACATGCTTATTTGAACAATGACGTGCAATGTACGTGTAGGTTGTTTGAGAAAATGGGTATAGTATGTAGACATGGTTTTTTTGCACTGAACCAAGCTGATGTAACAAAAATACCAAGACATCTTGTTGTGAACCGATGGACAAAAGGTGCTGAGATGAGGTATTCATTGCAGTTTAAGGAAATATCAGAACAGTGCAATACAATTAAAGTTACAAATCACAAGTTGAATGACATATGATATGATTTCCAATCCTGTGTGAGTTTGGCAGGTTTAGATGGTGAGAGACTTGACTACCTGGAAGGGAAGTTGAATGAGTTGAAGCACAGTTTGCGTGAATCTAATTGGAAATCTGACACACAGAACAAAAATGATGTAATGGAGTTTTTTGTTGGCTCAAAAATACCAGCTGAAGTGATTGTTAAACCTCCCATTGAAGGTAGAAACAAGGGGTGTGGACGGAGAATTGTTGGTGATTATGAGAAATCAATTAGTCAACGAAAGAAGAAGAAGCCAAGGCTGTGTAATATGTGCAAAAAAATCGATTTCCATGACGCACGGACATGCCCATTAAAGAAAACATTACAGCAGAGTGATGTTTAATTTAGTTATCATATTTTGTTTCAAAATCATGTTTAGTAATACATTTCTTATTAAAATTGCTGAATTGTGTAATTCTTAACTACATATATTTACTAGATTATTAATTACATGGTTACGTTGTGTCATGTTAGTATATTGAATTGAGATCTACCCATATAGCATGTGAATTTCATTATTATTAGTTGTATTATTTCAAAAGGAATGATAAAGTAGTTGTATGCAGTCATCAGTTTAAAATTGATTCGCTTTAAGTGATTCTGGACTAACTATATTGGATCTAGATTCATTGTAGTGAATCTAGATTCACTGATATTGAATCTCGATATCACTATAGGGATTCATTATAATCAATCAAACAATCAAATTATTTGATTGATTCGCTTTAAGTGATTCTGGACTAACTATATTGAATCTAGATTGATCGCATTGAATCTAGATTATCTGATATTGAATTTCGATATCACTATAGGGATTCTTTATAATCAATCAAACAATCAAATTACTTGATTGTTTCGGTTTAAGTGATTCTGGACTAACTATAATGAATATAGATTCATTGTAGTGAATCTGGATTCACTGAACTGAATATGGATTCACTATAGTGAATCTATTTTCAATCAAATAAATTACTAAAAACTTAAGATAATATTGAACCGGTGAATATAGATTAAATACACTCAATCCACAATAAGTATGATTAACTTACTGAATCTTTCACTGTAGTGAATCTGGATTCACTGCGTTGAATCTAGATTCACTATTGTGAATCTAGATTCAATCAAATAAATTAGTAATAACTTAAGATAATATTAAAACAGTGATTCCAGATTAAATACATACAATCCACAATAAGTATGATTAATTTATTATATGTTACATAAAACCTTGAATTATAACTCACAATCTCTGCTTAAATCGAAATTCTTCCAATTGCATTCACTACCTTCACAGTATTTTCATATATCCAAACTATTCAAAAATCTAGAAATAAAATTATGACAAAGCTATTCTTATAAAGTATATTTACATAGAAAAGTAGTTCAACACAAACTGGTGTATTCTATAACATTAAGTGACAATGTACTCAATAACTGTAAAATTCAACATTGGAAATTATGTTGATTACAGAATATCATTTTCTTTGAGATCTTGTGGTCTTTCTCGTCTCTTTTTTAACATTGGCAGTTTCAGCATGGTGCTGTTGGGCTTTGCTGATGACTTCTTTGGCCAATTCATTTGTTGGTTCAGTAAGAATTTGGCAATAGTATATAGACCTCAGTCTATATGTAGCTGGTTTTTTAATCGCTCCTGTCGATATAAACAAAAGTTCAGTTCAAGATTCAGTAGCTATATTCTAAATTTTATTAATTCAAAAAGACTAACTGTAAACTATCAACACATTATTAGTTTAAACACTTACATCCTCTCTATGAAAACCAGAGTTCCAATTTGCTGTACCACCGCCCATGTAGGTCTCCATATGTCTCATGATAAAAATACCACAATCAAATTTGCTTTTGGCCGTTCTCCACTCCATTTCAAGTCTGTCAGGCGTTAATGTATTTATTTCACTCGCCTTGTTATGTTTTTTGTCTGCCAAATATCTCACAAAATTCTGGTGCTGTTTAATCAAAAGTAATCAGTGTCACATAACAAATCCAAATTATCATACAGTAATGTTTAATGTAATATACAAATTATTTTGGTTGTTTATATGGAAACAGTATTAATGACAGTGAATCACGATTCATTGGATCTAGCTCGCCAGGATTTAATAGAGTTAGTTCACCTGGACTCACTCTAATGAATCTTGATTCACACTAGTGAATCTGGATCCACTAGAATTAGCTATAGCTAGTGGATCGTGATTCCGTAATGTGAACACAGATTCACTAGCTCTAGTGAATCGAGATTCATAGTAAGATGTGAATCCAGATTCACTAACTCTAGTGATCGAGATTCACTAGAGTTAGCGAATCTGGAATTCTCTGACTCTAGTGAATCCATATTCACTATAGTGAATCCAGATTCACTTATTACTGTATTCTGCCAGTAAATGCTTAAAGCACATATGTAAGGTGGAAAAACATACCAAACCCTCAGGACGACCTTGGTATTTTTCCTTGTAGTCTGGGTAGTTTTTGCTATTGTCAATCAGCTCCATACTTGGATTCTTTAGGTCATAGCACACAATGTAGAAATGCTCAAACGCATTTATGGGAAAGAAGACCTAATGGTTGTGAAATTTAATCAGAGATTTTACAGATATAGTTAAAATTGGGTTAAAGAACAAAAACATGGTCTTCGAATCTTTACCATATCAATCTCATTAAACTTCATATGTGGATATAGAGCAATGTTTATCAGTTCTTCGTACAGAGTCATCAATGATTTCAGATTCACAAGCTTTAGCAATCTGAACAACATCAACCATTTCCACTGTCTCAGTCTGAGTATCCTGTGTCAGCCCAAGAGAAAAACTAGGTTCTTTAGTCTGTGGGGTACCACATTCGCTGAGCTTTTGCCTCACTGGTCTGTCAACCTTTTTCATGCTAACAGTCTCTATAATATTATCAACCTCTTGAATAAACTTTGGGGAGACTTGTGTTTGTGGTAACTCAGCTGATATTGGATCAACAGCAGGGGAACCATGCATATCTCTACTCACCTTGGTGTTCACATTAGGGGTATCATCAACAATGTTTCCCACAGCTGTTTCATTATCACAGGTACTTACACGATGTCCACACCCCTGCACAAGAACATTTGAAACTCTCTGTTGAATTTGAAATAGCTCATTGTCATTGGAGAACAACTTTCTCATTGTCTCACACTCAGCATCATATCTATCTTTTGCAGATTCCAACTCTGCAGCTCT